AAGCTTACAAACCCGTTTTGCTTTAGAAATTTCGTCAAATTAAAACATTGATTCATTGATGAATCCTTGTGTGTATATGCGTGTGTGTGTGCAACATCTTTCGACATCTCAAATAGGAAATACTTTTCATTTATCTATAGTGATTAATAAAAAATTAATTAGACATGTTGATTTGTGACCTAATTAATAAATCAATGCTTACTAATTGAAACCATCTCAGTGAAAGTCAATCATAGTGGGTTACATGTGTGTCAATTCACATGTAAATGTATCTGTGTGGTTGTGTGTGTGTATATGTTTGTTTGAAGATGGATATGTAATTAGGTTTCCACTATTTTTCTACTTCTCTTCCATTTTGTCTTTCGCTTCCCTCCATCTTCTTCATCAATAAAATAAAACAACATTAAATGCTCTTTGACTGTGGTTTTCCACTTAATTGAATAATTAATTACTCAGTGTTCTTTTATTATCTCTTTCAATTGGTAAGTCAACGACAGAGTGAAAGAGAGATTGTAAGAAATGTTAAGAAATAAAGCATTTTTCATCAAGGATTTACGCATCATCATTTTCCTCTGTCTAACCAGACATTAGAATATTTTATTTCTGAGGAAATAAGAACCACCTAGTTTACTAATGTTTAAGTAACATTATCCAGAGTAAAATATGCTCAATAATTCATTTAATCAATTACTTTTCTTGAGAAAAATGAAATAAACATGAACGCCAAAGAATACTTGGCATTAAGAAGTATTGTACAGTTTTATATAATGTTTCATATGACGATAGAGTTACTACAATGTGTTGCCTAGAGACCTGGAAATCAATCGGGAACTTTTGTGTTAAAGATATAATCCACAATATAGGCGCATAACATCACCAACAGCTTAAGTAATCTTAGATGTTATTAATTTTTTTCCCAAGAATTCTAAAACCTGAAAGTGGCACCAATCATAAATTACGGTTTTACTTCTTTTTGTAAGATAGACACTTTTTTATTCACAACCAATTTTTTAGCTGTTTACGCTGAAAACATTTCATGAACCAAAGTTAGCAGTAAACTCACTGAGTATAGCAACAGAAAGGTTTACAGAGCTTCAACTTTTATAGAAGTGTTCACTTCTTGGTTGACAAGGAAAAAAGTTGCATAAATTTTTCATCTAACTATTTTCAGTGTTTATTATATTAGTCACATTTTAATTACTGAACTCCGGCAATTATTTTGACATATTCCTTTATATTTCACTTTTCCAGTAAGATTGATTTGTTGATGAACATTTTCGTATAAGTTTGTCGATTATTTTCTTGAAATAAGTACTTATAATTTTGTTTTCACAAGACTGATGATCAGCAACATCATTTTCCGAAAAATTATCTTAATCGGCTGCCAGTAGTAAGAGTGTCCTAAACGGTGGTTCACGAAACATTGACGTAATCTGTTTGACAATTAGCTAGGGTTTTCTCATAGACACAAGCAAGATAATGTGAGACCGATTCCTAATTATGCTTCATATAGTGTCAGTAGTCAGTAAAAGTCATATTTCACCAATTGCTTCGTTCTACTTTTGAAACTCCTAATGTTGATTACCTGTAATCTCAATTTAGATAAGACTGAGTAATAAGATGGTGTTGAGAGAAAATCTAGTCTTTAGTACGAAATAAATATTTTGTCTGATGTTGCCATACTGGTTAAATGACATATTTCAGTTGATCCCCCATAAAGTATTACATCTGTAGGCTGGATACATTCAAGTCTGAACTATCCTTTGAGATGTACGTTGCTTGATAACAGCAGTGAAGGCCAGATGTGTTTGTTCGTTTCGATCTTTAGCTCGTCAGATGGTGACTGCATGGTCCTTGTAACCTGAGTTTCACTCAACTAGAAACATGTGGGTAAACAAGTATGCTTTCACTGCAATATAAGAAAGACTACGCTTTCGGTCTTATTTGGTCTCAGTTTGGCCTAACTTAAATTGTTTATAAAACTTATGGGGGTCGGATACATTTTTTTGTATCAACTTGAACTTAGCATCCGGCCTTGTAACTAACATTGTGAATAGCAGATATGTTTATTTCATGGTAGCTTTTAATGTGAATCAACAAAAATTTGGAGGAACTCAGAAGAACTTGGAGTCCTGGAAAGATCTTTAGTCCCATGTTGAATGTACGTCTATGACCCTGAAACATATGCAGTTACAAACCTTCACATCTCGCTTTCAGCACCTTACTCCTCAACCAGTGGGTTGATGTTTGCTAGATGATAGATGGTTGTGTACTCGCCAACAAACTTGATAGACCTAGGCCAGACCCTTCAGAACGTCATGGATGTGCTTCTTTGAAGAATTCCACAGTAGAACAAAACAGATCTCTAGTGTTTTGTCTTTCAATGGTTCTCTAACAAACTTTACCGGATGATGAAAGCTACCTCGAAATCAATTAGATCCCATAAACATTTGTCAAAATTCGTCGTGAGAATAAACATTTCCACATCAAGTCAGTGTGTAAATACATTATTGCAAGCTGTATTTAGACTTTAGTAGGGCTTCGGTGTTATCTGTCACTTATAGTTTATATTTGGACACAATATAACTTCAAACATTGAACACAAAAGCATGGACAGAATCGAACTTTATACACAGTGCAATAACTAAAGCTGTTTAAACAAACTTATTTCTCAGATAGAGATATTTCATAGGTTAGAGTTGAAATAAATCACAATGCAATGTATTTATGCAAATGTTTCCTTTTTGAAATCCCACCAAATCTATTCCAGATTGATTTAAACAATGTAGTCGGAATGCGACATTTATGTGAACGAAACCTGATGTATTTCTGCAGAAATAAAGGAAAATCTGTTGCCACACTTATTTTCAGAAACACTGTACATTAATCATTATTAGAATATATTTTATATTGCTTCTTCCAGGAAATTTGTAGTCTGGAAGTTTATAGTCTAAATGTACAATAAATTAACAAGGGAATGGAATACACCTTTGCAGTTCATTATAAGTGCAAATTAATTGAATTTATTATGGAGCACATGGTGTTTTTATTCGGATGAACCTCACTTGTTTGCCGCACTTTCACTGATTGGGTTTCCTTTGTCTACAAACCCTTTCTAGTAACAAAATAACTCCACTGTCGAGCCTTAGCATTCTCGGTCATGATTCATAGGCACCTAACTGGTGGTTTGACGATAAGTGAATAAGTCCAAACTGGTTATTATCAAAGTGAGGCTGAATCCCTTATGAGGCAATGGGTTCACCCTGTCATGGGGTTTCAGGTTAGGATAAAGCAACATTTCAGTGCTCATTGGTTTCTAATGGCGCACCAAATGATGTTAGTTTGTGATGTAACCCACCTTGAAATGAACAGTGGACATGTTTTAATCTTTTCCTGAACTGTAGAAACCTGCTCACATGAATCGGTCACCAGCGGGTAACCCATGTAGTTGTCTAATCACATCTAACACGTAAGTACAGTGCACTGTGCTATCCCATCACTTGGCTTGATGGTCACCTTTCAAAACTTGATGAATAGACTTCTGTCAGTATATAGGCTTCTAAACTAGACATTCACACAGGTTACTCACTGGTGACCGATTTTTGTACATAATGCATCTTACAAGAAGTCTTTCGAGGCTTGAATATTTTATCGGTCCAGCCTTCAACTTCATCACCGGATGTCACAGTTTTGATTCACCAAAATCACACGTACGCATTGCTGATAGGTGACAACAGGCAAAACACCTAGTTCAAGCAGGACTTCCTATCGATCAACTTCCAGTGACTTAGCTTACTTGGTTGCCAGTGACTAACAATGAAAACCGACCTGTCCGCCTTGTTCTGCTCGGGACTTTTCAGCTAAAACCCCCATATTTCAATGAATGATGATCTCCGCATTCAGTGGTCTTAAAAGGTGAAAGCAGTTTATTCACTTTTACCCGCTAAATATGACAAACAGGAAAATATGAAGTTGAAACCCAAGAAGATAATAAAGTAGACGCATGTATGCTATTTGTGACTGATCGCTCTTATCTCATAAGTTAAACAATGAAAACCTACGACTATAAATAGGCGTTTGAACCTTATTTACTGGCAAACGAATTTCTTAGGATAGTGATTGGTGGTTATAGTCTTAACTATGTGCTTGTCTTCAAATATTTTTCTCTTCAATCGGAGGTGAATTGTTTGGTTACCTCGAAGGATAATTAATTTAGCCACCTTAGGTAATATTACAACAGCTGTCTGGAATGTAGAAGAGTATTGCCTTTATTTCTTTGGTTTAAACTAAAAATATAGGCCATTTTGCTACGGAATATTTGAATAAAGTTATTTAGCATCAAATTATATGTAAGTAACTATACTACTGTGCCAAAATTCAATCTTGCAACAATAAAACGCCTTGAAAAACTGAGCGGGAATCACTAACTAAAACTAACTGTTCTTCGGTTCAGAAACCGAAAAGAAGTATTTCTAGTCTTCGAAATCAATGGATTTTAAGATATTTCAATAAATGAGAAAAACCTTACTTTGGTTTGTATTTGCCTGTGTGCTGAATAAATTTGGTAGTTGGGTGAGCTGGTAACTTGACTATATAGCTGTTGAAAACACTACCATTTGTTCAGCCTCGGCTTTGTCACTTCATGTAAACCACAAAGATAGTGGCTTAAACTTCACTTATCTACTCTTACGTCTTGCAGAGATCAAGGAAAACCTTTGGTAATCGATTTAAAGTTAGGATTAGGCTGATAGGTAGGTATCATAGATAAATGGGGCAGGTGACCAGCGAACAATCGGTTAGAATCCTGCCGTAACTCAGGTTTGCGTTTCACTTTTAGTCATTATCTACAACCCTGTCAAGGATGTAACAAACTATGGCTAACTTAGATGGTCTCATTAACTATCACCAGGAATTCATAAATTGATGGATTATCTTTTGTTTGGCTGATTACTTTTTGTTGCCTAACTACTTCTTACCTACTTTTTTGATATCCTTTTCAGCATTTATTCGGGTAGTTAATCTACGCAGCGAAGGCTCTTATGTATACTTTGAAGATACAGGTCTGTTGGATAGCAAAATCTCTTATGAAAAGGAAGTTACTCAAAGGTTTGACAATCTCACTTTCCTTTTGGTGAGTTGTCTTATAGTTTTTACATACCACAGTTTGATTATATTTTTGATAATGTATCCTTTTTCAACAACGATGACACTGATTACAGTTTTTGATACCGGTTGTGGCAAAGTGTACCAGTGGTATGAAACCTTATTCTACAATTAACAGACATTAACAGAAGGTTGGCAGTAGATTTTAGATTCACACAGACGTATATATTATCAGACTATTTGGATAACATACTACGACCAAAACGCGATACTCCGTAAGCAGAACTAACCGACTGCTTCAAACTAGCAGAAAGGTTGGAGAACACCAAAAATTAACGGTGACAAGGTGCTAGATAGTTTTGACATAATCGACCTATATATGAAAATATCAATAAAGATAGCTGTGGAATCACTGAAGACAAGATTAGAAAAAGAAAATGCTATGAAAGAAAGAAGACAGTAATCTATGGGAATAGAATACTGTTTAACAACGATTTTATTTCAAATTTTAAGGAGAGTAATATCAACAAAATGAAGGATTGGCCATGGAGTCACTCATCTCACCAATAATAGCGAACATCACAGATTTCAGGGGAGAAAAAGCCTTAAAGTCATGCATGGCCTTAATCATAAGTTGGTGAAGGTATGTAGACGATACGCCAGTCATAATTATGAAGAAAGATATTGACATTTTCCGTGACCATATAGACATTCATGTAGACTCAGTTAAATCCACTTTAGAAATAAAGAATGAATTGAGAGAGCTACCAGTGTTAGACTGTTAGATTCAAAGAATGATAGATGGAAGTTTAAAGACCACAGTATACAGAAAACTTACAGATTCAGGAAGACTTCTGGATTACTGCTGAGCGCATCTACTCAATCTAATAAGAGAATTTACGCAGTCTGGCAAGCAAAATACGTAGGTTGACAGCAAATTTTGATGATCAAAGAAAAGAAATACACATTCTATCCAGAATGTTACTGAAAAATCACTCTCCTAGACAATTCATAAGGGACAATTTCAAGAGAAAGAAAAGGAAGAGACAGGAAATAAAGTCGAAAAACAATAAGAAAGGGGAATATCAAAATTCTGTAGTACTGCCATATAAAAGAGACACATTTGAGTTAATCCGAAGAAGTCTGAAAAACCAAGTATCAAACTATATTTGGGCGCACGAACCTCATCAAAAATAAAGTCAACTAAAAGATGCAATAAAAAAATTAGACGAGAGCATTTTCATGTGCAAAGCATCTTGTTTGCCATTTTGACTGAGATAGCCGTGGTTTGGTAGAGTAGTGCCGGGTGATGAACGAAGGTGAAATGAAAATTTGGTTTTCGGCGGGAATTTAATGAGCGACCACTGGGTTTTCTGCTCGGTACTTTCATTCAGTTACATTTAGATTGGGATGAGGGGTCCCGACCAGTAGTAATGCATCACAAACTCACATGGCAGTCAGGCAAAACCTTTAGTGATTGAGGTGAATAAAGACCCGGTCAGCAGTCAAGCCTCGTAATTGAGTTAGTAAGGCACCAGGATGGTGACCCGGGGGTCGCTGGTTCGAATCCGGCCACGGTCCAAATTTTCATCTCTTCTTCAATCATCACCCAGCGTCAAAACATCTGACTGTCCAGTTAACTATGTAGGTAAATATTCACGGTTACTCAAAATCAGACTGAATGAACATTGACGATTACCTAAAGAAAAACTCAGATGGAAACAAGAATATTGAAATTCGAAAAAATCTTTCATAGATAGCAGCACATGTGTGGAATGAAAACCCCAATATTGATTGGGACAGTATTAAGTCCAACATGAACAAATGGAGAGAAAGACTGTTGCTGAATCCATGTTGATAAAAGTCACACTTAACAAATGCAACAAAGGTGATACATTGCAACTATCAACAACATGGAATATAGTACTGGGAAAAGTAGTGACAAACCTACAAAATCAAAACACTTTATATATGAACGAATAATATGAACAGTTGGCGTGATCACGGGGAGTAGTTTGCTCAAAATATTATCGGAGCAAAATAACACTATATGTAAGCATTCACTACAAACATATTTATCATAAAAAGTAGTTAACATGTATAAATGTTGTGGAGCAGGAAGCTTCGGTGTTGGCTTTTGAGAAACATGGAACCTAAAACAAACTATAATTTCATCAGATTCGATTTATCAAAACTGAACGTAAATAAAATGAGACTCCCTTTTTTGAAAAAAAAAAGGATTTATGTACGACGACTGAAGTGTCTCCGTTTAAGTTCTTCTGCCTCATGACTTCAATTATTTCTATAAAAAGTCACTTTTTATATTCAGTTAAGATGAATGTTATATTCACTAAGCTTTATGGTAAAATTTTAGTTGTTGATTAACAGGTAGCAATGCGCTCCTCTGGCATAAGTACTAAATTTATATTGCTTAAGGATTTGAGGTAGGGTGTAACACAAATCAGGTAATAATTGAAACACTGTAGTTGTAGCATCTCTAGCTACAATACTGAATAAGATGGATAAAAACCTCATATTTAGAATGAGGCTTCTCATACGGGGATTAAAATCCCTCCAATTATATCCACTAAGGATGAATTCTAGGTTATTTCATTTCTGTTGATAAATTTTTGAGTAATTAACTCCAAGAATAATGAAGTTTTCACCTTGTACAAAGAAAAGGAAGTTGAATGAAAAAGTTAACCATAGCGTTCATCATTATTTTGCCATCTTTGATGTAAAAATTCTTTTACTTACTGAATGTTATTAAATTGTACAGAATTCGTTTCCGATAACTCTTTTAAGCAGTAGTTATTTTGAAAAAGGTTATATTTTGAATTTCAGTCACTTGTAGACCAAAACATATTTTATAAACAAAATTTGTAATAGCAAAAATTTGAATGAAGTTAATAAACTACGTTTCAGAGACTAAATGATAGACGTTTCAGATATAAAGAAGTTGAGCATTTCTGACCAAAGTCAATGTTTCACTACAACTTATCTGTAAAGCATATTTGAACGCCTTGTGATAATTTCATTTGTTATTTCCCTTGTAATTTTAATGAAAACATAATTTTAAACAACTTTTAGTTCAGTTCAAGGCTAATTAAAATTCGTAGAGCATTAAGTAGGTGTCTGTTTTTACACTGAGATTGGTCAGAAGTGGGTATCGTCAGTTCCAGTCTATCAGCTTCATCTTTCATAGATGCATGTTATCATCTTTCTACAGAACCATATCCAGGTAACCCTCTTCACCTGAGTTTGGTAAATTGAATGTATCAAGTAAATATTAGTCATTAACATTAATGAACATCCGTCCTTACACTCAACTTACTGTGTGCTGAATATTCCGAATTGTTATCAGTTAGGCAATGCAAAATGAGAATATACTGATCATGAAGGATCGTCCACTCTAAAACCTTTTATATTTTTTTCAAAGTGGCATGGAAATGAACAAGAAACTATCTTTTATCTGTGACAGTTTACAGTATATATAAAAGAAATAATTATCTCATCTGGATGGTGTTAATAAAAAAGGTATTAAAGGCACTAATGCGTAGTAGGAAACCTCGCCTGGTTAACTAGTTTACTAGTTACTAGCCGGTCCTAAGCCCGGGTAAAGAGGGAAGGTTGGGCATAGGGCTAGCAACCCTACCCCGTAAAACAAATCTAACCGCTAAAGAAACTTCAAAGCACAAACAAAATATAAAAAATGAAAACAAACTTATACCCCGCTGGAATCGGAGAGGCGAAATGACGCCAGTTGGTGAAAGCCTTCGGGAAGCCAATTGGCCGATGTGTCTTCTCTCGATGAAAGCGAAAGTAAACGTGGGGACATGGAATGTCCGCACGATGTTTGAACCCAGTAAGGCAGCCCAGATTGCAAAGGAGATGAGAAGGTATAACATCGAAGTGCTTGGGATTTGCGAAAGCAGATGGAATGGGAGTGGACTCTCCAAACTGTCAACTGGAGAATCAATAATCTACTCCGGTCACCCAGACGCCAACCACGAGCACACTGAGGGAGTGGCTATCATGATGTCCTCAAGAGCATCGAAGGCTCTCATGCAGTGGGAACCAATCTCCTCCAGGATCATGACAGCAAGGTTCAACTCAAAAGGAAGAAAGGTCACAATCATACAATGTTATGCACCTACAAATAATGCAGAGCAAGAGAAAAAGGAGGATTTCTACAGACAACTTCAATCAACACTGGACAAGACGTCAGTTGGCGATATCAAAATTCTAATGGGCGACATGAATGCCAAACTGGGAGGGGACAACACGGGAAGAGAACTAACCATGGGTCGAGAGGCGCTAGGTGAAATGAATGAGAATGGAGAATTGTTTGCAGAATTCTGTGCATTCAACGATTTGGTGATTGGAGGCAGTGTGTTCAGGCACAAGGATATCCACAAAGCGACATGGACTTCACCAGATGGACACACTAAAAATCAAATCGACTTTATCTCAATCTCAAGAAAATGGAGACGCAGTCTACTTAACACAAGGTCAAGAAGAGGAGCAGATGTAGGTTCAGACCACTATCTAGTGCAAGGAACCTTCCAAATCAAGTTAAAAGCCTTCAAGGAAGCTGGTGATAGACCTCAATTCAAGTACAACACTCGGAAACTGAAGGATGAAACTACAAAGGAGATCTTCAAAGCAGCCATCAAGACAAAATGGGAGACGTCGAGGGACATCCCTGAAGAAACCTGTGTGGAAGAACACTGGAAGTCTTTGAAAGCTGTGTGGAAAGAAACCTGCACAGCCGTATTAGGAAGGAAGAAGAAAGAAGACAAGGAATGGATCTCGACGGATACCTGGAAGCTGATAGAGGAGAGGAGGATGGTGAAGCAGAAGATAAACCAGTGCAAGGATGCTCAACGACAAGAGGAACTGAGCACAATGTATAAAACACTGGACAAAGAAGTGAAGAAGAGTGCACGCAAAGACAAAAGACACTTCTACGACACACTGGCAAGTGAAGCAGAACAGGCTGCAGGTAAGAGAGACCTGACGACATTG